CCCCAAGCTTCCCTGCCTCAGGGAAGAGCCACTTGCTGGCACGCTCGCATGCTGAGACAGCCCATTGGGGTCAGGCCATGAGCAGCCTCTCGAACTTCCAGGGCTTGCACATCCAGCAAGGGCCTCAACGAAGTACCCAGAGAGAGGGACCAGGAATCAGCTGGGATGAAAGGAAGAGAAAGGTGTCCAGAAGGACCTTTCCCCATGTGTACCCCTTTACAGGGAGAATTAATCAAACCCTTAAAAAAAACAACCATTTTCAAAGAATCACAGAATGGTTAAGGTTGGAAGGGACCTCTAGAGATCATCTAGTCCAACCCCCCTGCTCCAGAAGTTCTTCCTCATACGGAGATTAAACTTCCTGTGTTTCAACTTAACACCCATAACCCTACTTCTTGTCCAGCTACCTCCTCACAGGATCGTGAATTCCAGCATCTCGTGGTCACTGCAGCCAAGACTGCCCCCAACCTTCACATTTCCCACTAGACCGTCTCTGCTTGCTAGTATCAGGTCTAGCAGCGCCCTTTCCCTTGTTGGCTCATCAACCACCTGCATCAAGAAGTTATCTGCAATGTTCTGCAGGAACCTCCTGGACTGTCTGCTCCTAGCTGTGTGATTATCCCAGCAGACATCAGAGGGGTTGGAGTCCCCCATAAGGACCAAGACCTGGGATTGTCAGGCTTCTTGCCTGTAGAAGGCCTCATCCACTTCCTCTCCCTGGTCAGGAGGCCTGTAGCAAACGCCTATGACAGAGGGAGCCCCTATTGTCCTGCCCTTTAATCCTCATCCACAGGCTCTCGACCCGCACTTCATCCTCCCCTACACTGAGCTCCATACATTCCAGTTGCCCTCTCATGTAGAGAGCAACTCCACCACCTCGCCTTCCTGGCCTGTCCTTCCTGAAAAGCCTAAAGCCATCCATGGCCACGTTCCAGTCATGAGAGCTGTCCCACCATGTCTCAGTAATTGAGATGAGATCATGGCCCTGCAATTGCACACACATCTCCAGTTCTCCTGCTTATTCCCCATGCTGCATGCGTTTACATATGGCATTTGAGTTGGGCTCCCAATGTGCTTCTCATTCCAGCGGGGCAGCTGCAACTTGACCACATGGACCTTCGGGAGTTCTCTTATGTTCCCATCTGGCCTCTTCAGGCCTAGGGCGCCCTTCACAGACTATGGAGTTAGGCGGCTGCGAGTGGCATGACAGGCCATCGCCTATCCCATAACTTGCTTCCCCCATCTAGTTTAAAGCTCTCTCAATGAGCCCTGCTAGCTCATGTCCCAGGGCTTTCTTCCCACTTTGAGAAAGATGGATCCCATTAGATTCCATCATGCCTGCCACTGTGTAAGGCTTCCTGTTACTGAAAAAAACAAAAGTTGTGGCGATGACACCAGCCACAGAGCCATGTGTTAATGGACTATATCCTATTTCTTTCTATATTGTTGCCAGCGCTGGGAAGAATGGAAGAGAATATGACCTGCGCATCTGAGTTCCTGATGGCCTGCCCCAATTCCCTAAGGTCCCTTTTGATTGCCCTCAGGCTGCACGTTGCCACTTCATCTCCTACCACATGTAGGACCAGCAAAGGATAATAGTCTGTGGGTGTAACCAGGCTGGGAAGTTTCCGGGTGACATCCTTAGCCTGGGCCCCACGAAGGCAGCAGACGTCTCTTAGAGGGAGGTCGTGCCTACATATCGGACCTTCTGTTCCCTGAACTCAGGAATTGCCCATAACTATAACCCACCTTTTCTCCCTCCTGCCTGTGGTCACAATACGCAGGGTTTGTCTTTCTGATTGTGTTACTATTTTTGGAGGAGAGGGATTCTCGCCTACCCTAACTAATTGCAATACTGATACGGATTTCACTGTCGTTGTCTGTTGTATAGTTCTTCTGATCCTAACGATCTGGAGCACGGTGACCTAAAGATTTGTGTGGTAGGTTTTGATCATGACATGAATTTTATGCAGATCTACAGCTGTGCAAAACCAAGAGGGAGGGGAAAGCTTTGCCCTTGTGTTCCTCTTCACGGGCAGAAGACTTTCATGAGGATAGTGTATGCATTTTTCTCCTTTCATTTATTTTCCTTTCTTTCTTCCCTCCTCCCTCCCCTTTTCTTTAGGCAGTGGCTATTTTTCCTTCTTGTTCAGGAAGGATAAAGCCACTTGACGTAATATTTAAACAATTAAAAGTGCCACAGAAGGTTTGGAGGTGTCAGAACGCAATGTTAAAGGCCTACCGTTTAAAAAAAAAAAAACGCATACAGTTTGATCAGAGCTGCTGGTCTCCAAATCCACGTTACTGACCACGTTCCTGCAAAAGTAGGAATTTTTTGCTCCCGTGAAAAGCTGTAACTGCACCTGAAGTAGCAAATGCCCCCAAAACAGGGCGCTGAAACAGGCGCGGCCCCGGCTCCGCTCC